CTTCCACATGTCTTAGGCACGCCTCAGCCTCCGAAGTGCAAGTAATTCCCTGAGAGCAGGGACAGCGTTTTCTACATCTGCATCCTACCTTACGCCTGCGATTCCCGGCATACCCAACATACGCGTAAACAATGCTGTAGAACAGGGGCAGCCAACGTTTTCTGGAAAAGGCCAATTAGTAAATATTTTAGGCTTTGCTGGCCATACGATCTCTGCTGCCACGACTCACCTCTGCCACTGCAGCGCAAAAGCAGCCTCAGACAATACTAAGTGAATGGGTGTGGCCGTGTGCCAATAAAACCTGATTTACAAAAACAGGCGGTGGCTGATTTGACCCATGGGCCGGGGTTTTCAATCCCTGCTCTAGAGGCCCGGGTCAGAAGGAAACAAGCGTGTCAGAAAGACCGCTGGACGGAAGCTCGAGGCTGGACTTTTGAGGTGTCTGCATCTCAGTTGCTTCATCTGTAAAAGGCCCGGCTAGCATTGAAATCATCGAGTTCTAAGAATGAATTTCAATATATACTGAAAACACGACTCACGGGATCCCCACTGTCCTCATCACCTTATGCTGCTCACTGCCAACATACTTGCCGGCTGTGAAACACACTGGTGAGACACAGGCCAGAGAAACTTTTGTGGGCTGAGAAAAATGTTAGAAGGTTGACAGATGCTGTCCCCCTCCCCCACACTCCAGCCAAGCAATCCCTTCCCGAGGACAATAAATAGAAAATAAGCACAGCAAGAAGCAACTTGCTGGTTGTTACATACACCATTGGCTATTCAATAAAAAAACAGAACCCAGGGATCTTGTCTCACTCTGTCTTGTGTCAAACTCTCTCCCATAAATGCCAGCCATTCCCACTTGTTCAACTCAGTAACAGTTCTTCTTATCCTTTGAAAAATATGCGACAACTTTAAAAATAAGCTACGTTATATTTAAATAGATCTAATTTGTGGTTTGTATTTAAACTGTCAACTACCTCTTGAATTTCCTCTGTTGATTATTCTAGTTTTTCCACAAGGTAAATACCTAAGTAAACTATCATAACTTTGCATATCATCTTTAAATTGTATGATGAATCCCAATTTCAGAGATATTAAAAAGTGGGGAAAAAAAGAATTGATGAATTATGATGGATTTTTAATGGTTTGATTCTTGGATTTATGTTTCTACCTGAAAGAGAAAAACTACACTGGGCCTTATCTTGCTCTGGAGTTTCCCCCATCTGGAATGACCTCTTTTTCTCTAATCCCCACTTGTCCATATTCTAAGCATTCATCTAAGCTAAAAGCCAGCCCCCCCCCCCCCCCCCCGACAAAGCCTTCCCTGACAGCCCCGCTCTGACCTCCTACAGTACTTAACAGGAGTCCTTTAAAGACAACACGCACTGCACTTATAGCTACCTGTTCAGCTCTGTCATGATAAAGATTGTCTTATACCTCCTCGAACACCCCACTCCCACGAAAACAGTACAGTGCCTTAAACACAGAAGGCGTCCAAATGCATTAATCTTAGCATACCTGAGCAAATTACATCTGAACGGATAGGAATTTGGCTTTACTTTTTGATCCACATTCATAAGCAGTGTTTCTATCCATACCCCCCAGCTACGGTATTCATCGGGGCGACATTCAGCAGCGCCTTCATTTCTTTCTGTGCTGTGCTCATTTAACAAGATTAAGGAACTAAGTTTTCTTATCTAATAGCTGCTTTACAGAGATTTGAAGGATTTTAATGGCTGTTCAGTAACGACAGAACTTTACATTGTACATAGGAATCATCCAATGAATGCGACCTCTAATAAACAGAATCAGTTTTACAAGGACCTTAGTAGGTAAAAAGACCCCAGAAGGGCTGGGGTGGAGAGACAGGGATGTTCCAAATGAAACAAAGGAGCCTGGAATTGTGATGAGTTCTCTTCAGAGAGTTACAGATTCAAGACTAAGGATTAGATCGTACACTTTCCAACCCTCTCATTTCACCCCTGAGAAAAACAGTGCCTTTCGGTTAAATTAGCTACTCCTGGATTTGGTTAAATTAGTTAATACACACATCTGGAGATTTTTAAACTTTTGAATATACCATTAGAGCATTAATAATGAATAATTCTAGGGGATTTTATCATACTGAAGGAGTTAATGCATTTCCCCAAAGGATCTGGGCCCTACGATTATTTTACATGAATATTCTGACTTCCTAGAGTCACAAAGAAAAGCACAGATTCCCCTTTTCTGTGTGTTCCGAGAGAGAGAGGGCATCCATAGGCACCAAGGTCATCACTTGGGTGCAACAATATTTCATAGAGCATCTTACTGATGAGACGACATCCATCATCAAACAATTCTGACATTCAGGAATAAGATTTAAAGTTGCAGCACAACTTTTAAGAGACCTAATAGTTTAAAACTCATAAATCTACCAAACAAGGGAAAAATTACTCCATAAGTTGAAACGATTTAACTTTCTGGCTCTATGGGCTTATCTAAGATTCCTAAGACGTCTGTGGTGAAGACAGCATCACGGAGGAGGCGGACAAGACAGATCTTGATGAGGAAGCCAGGCCCCATGAGGGCAGCACTACAGACGGCAGCCAACGGGGCAGCAAGGGCTGTCCTGCAGACCCTGTCACCCCACCCCTCTTTGCCCTTTGCTTCTCTGGGGCTCAGTTTCCTCTGTGGTTTCCCCTGTCCAGATGACTTTTCCATATAAAACAAATGTAGCAGTTAACCTCCAAGAGCTGTCCTGAGAATTATAAACAAGTAGAAAGTATCTGCAAAACGTCCAGTACTGCTGTACAGACCATGCAAAAAACAAGACAAGGAGAGTATATACAGACAAGAAGGGTCTTGCCTGGAAAGCACAAGACAGGTCATTTATATTATTCACAGTCATATACTGACCCCATCCTCTTTCTCCAATTATCTGTGGAAACTGACATGTTTTGCCTAAGCTCTTTGCTACTTTATCCCGTTCTTTCTCATTTTCTTTTTATTATTAAAAAAATACTCATACGTCGGGGCTGGCCTCGTGGCGTAGCGGTTAAGTACGCGCGCTCTGCTGCAGTGGCCCGGAGTTCGCAGGTTCGGATCCCGGGCGTGCACCAACATACTGCTTGTCAGGCCATGCTGTGGCTGCCTCCCATATAAAGTAGAGGAAGATGGGCACGAATGTTAGCCCAGGGCCAGTCTTCCTCAGCAAAAAGAGGAAGATTGGCGACAGATGTTAGCTCAGGGCTGATCTTGCTCACACACACACAAAAAAATACTCATACATATATAAAGGTAGAGAGAACAATAACGTGAACCCTCATGCATCCATCATTCAGCTATACAGACATCAGCCCATGGTTAACTTTATTTTATGTACATCCCACCCATGATGTACATTCCCCCAACCCTGTGGGATCATTTTGAATCAAATACAAGACATAGATTTTTTCATTCTTTGTAGTTTTTTTGTTTTTCTTTGGTGAGGAAGATTGTCCTTGAGCTAACATCGGTGCCAGTCTTCCTCTATTTTTTTGTATGTGGGTCGCCTCCACAGCATGGTTTGATGAGTGGTACAGGTACGTGCCCGGGATCCAAACCCGTGAACACTGGGCCGCTGAAGCAGAGCGTGCGACCATAACCACTATGCCACCAGGCCGGCCCCAATTCTTCACAGTTTTTTAAATACATATGTCATATTTCTTTGCCATTTTATTTTCTTGATTCAACATTCTTGATGTAAATTATTTATAACAATAAAATTGAGGCAACATTGGAGGTGTACTTGGGGCCAGAGAAAAATTTAGAAACAAATGATTTAAATAAAAAAAGACACGAGTCAAGGCAGAGGCAGTTAAGGTAGCCTGCAGGACTCCGCATTGTCATGCTGTTATGAGCGTTTCTCACCTTTCCCTGAACGAGTCTAATCTCTTCTGCCTCCATGCCTCCCTCCCACTACTGAACACACAATCACCTCCCTCCAAGGGAGGGAGCATTTAGCTATCTCCCTCCAAGGCCTTCCTCAGTTCCTCCAGTCAAAATGCACCTTCTCTCTGCTTTGCTTCCATAGCACTTAATTTTCCTAGCACACAGTAAGTACTCAATAAATGCTCGTGCAAATGAACGGGACATAAAACTTATTTCATTCTGCCGTGTATCTTAGTTAGCTGTTTTCACATCTGTCTCCCATAGTAAACTTTAAATTCCTTGAGGAAATAATTGTGTTAAATCAGCTCTGTGTCCCTCACTTCCTAATGTGTTTTTCTTTGCATAGTAGGTGCCCAACAGATGTCTCAGGAACGGAGAGATGCTCTAGAAAAAGAGCGAACCTTGCAGAGTGGTTAGAGGATTAAGCTTCCGGAGAACGACTTCATGTAAATTATGGGCAGACTAGCAAAAATACAATGTGTAGATCTTTTCACTGGTTTCTAGTCTTAGGGAAGCAAATTTGGGCTTGTCATCATAAAAGTAAAAGAATTTGGGAGTGGTTTCCTTTAGTCCAAACGACCTAGCAACACCTGCCACCAACACCATAATTCTGTTTTTCTCTCCTATCCCCTCCCAAGGTGAAGGCCACATTGAGTTACTGCCCACAGGATAGAATTACAGGACTGAATCCGAGACAAAGGTTCTTTATGCTGCGTCTGGTCATTAATTAGCTGCTGGAAACTTCAGGACAGGGCCATTAACATGCTCATAAACCTTTTATTTTAAATGTTTTCGCTTAGCCATGATTCTGATGTGACTCTCCTTGTAAGCTGGACGTAGGACATTGGTTTCTTAACATTTCTGAGGCTCATTAACTACTCCATCCCAGTGGCTCGTTAACTAGCCCATTAGGGATTTCGCCTCATCCAGGCAGAAGCCTCCACCTGCCCTCACAGAGCCTTTGAGGCACGTAATCATAACCGGGAATGGTGTGAGGCTAGCTGCAAGGCTCTAAGGAGAGCGCGGGGCTTCGCTAGATCTCCCCTGAGGCTGAAGTGGCCGGAGAGAGGGGAGTGCTCACTCACCTGCTATTCTCCCAATGGGCATGGCGTGCTCCTCGGGCGGGGAGACGGAGACCATGATGTGGTTCATGTATGCCAGGTCTTCCCGATGGGAGAGGTTGATGGGTTTCCCTTCTCTATGCAGCCCGTCCTCGGAGAGCCTGGACTGTTTGAAATCCACGGAGTGCCGGGGGTTCAGGATCAAAGGGTGCATGATGGGACTGGGCATCAGCTGGATCACGCGTGTGTTCTCCTGCCGGGGGCTGGATGGCTTCTGGTGGGACTCAGAGGATGGTGGGCAGTGATTATTCTCCATGGGAGACACTGATAGGGGGTAGGACTCCTGGTGGTTGTTTTCCTGGTGGAGCCTCGGTCCCTGGGCCCTCTCGGCGGGGGAGAGGCGGCGGATCATGTTGTCCAGGGGGGACCGGAGGGGCCGCTGCTCGGGGTCAGGAGAAGGCCGGTGATTTGTTGTGATGGGTGATCTAGAACGGTGTAACAGTTCAATGGTGGGAGGGTTGTGGTGCACACTCTCCACTGATGGCCTTGGGGTCCTCTGGACACAGTTATCTGTGGAGCAGAGGGGAAGACAATCACAGACCCCAGTGAACTGTCGGAAGAGGGACCTCACTGGGGTTCTAAAGGTAGTAAACGGCAGAGCACGTGTGTGGCAGTGTGGCACCTTCCGCAGGATGCAGAGTGTCTTTCTCACTGCTTAAAAAAAATTAAAGTGGACATACTTGAAATTCTTTTCCTACCACTAGACGAGCTAAGAATGTCTGCAAACATTCCATTAATCTCCTACTAGTGGCTTATAAACCCAAGGAAGCCAAACTTTCATTTATCTTTTGTTACTTGACTCTTCAAAGTGACTTTCGGGGTCCTTAAGGCTTTCTCTCCAGATGCTCTCACTGACTCATATTTTCATAACTGATTTTTCATATTCTCTACCTCCAGGAGTTGTTGTTGGTGTTAATGATAATGATAAGGATAAAGTAATTACTATATTCTAGGTACTGGAGAATATTGTTTAAAATTTACAACACTCCTAAGTAGGAGAAACTAACTACGAATACTCTTATCTTACAGGTGATAAAATGGAGGCATAAAGAAGTTAAGAAACTTATCCAAGGCCACACAGCCAGTTAAGGCATTAGAACCAGATTCCAGTTCGATTCTAGAAACTGTATACCCATGACAATATCTGCCACTTTGCTATGTAGAAACTGGGGGAAAAAGTCATATCAAAACCTGCTCTAAGCATGAACAGTGGGCCTAATTTACAGAATGACAGTCTTGTTGTACTTGAAAGAACATTTAGTATCACCTTGTTTCTCAGTGCACAGACCCTACAAAAGCTGAGACAGGTAGAGGTAAGTAAGAAGGAGGAGGGATGGACACCCCTCAGAACACTTCCACTCCATCCTGCTTGAACTTCCAAGCTGGTGACATTTGAGCAAGGACCACATCAGAAGTGCACACAGCTCAGCAAGAGAAGTAGCTCTGTGGGCTGGGTGGAGGGAGGGACCAGCACTCACATGGCATTAGGAGTCCCTCTAAGGGCAGGAAGGACAGAAATCTGCCTACAAAAATGCAGCTTTCCACAGGGCCCCACACTCATCTCAATGAGGTTTCTCTGGCCATATCTGTGCCCAGAGCTGTCTCACCAAAAGGACGTGCATGGTTGCAGGTCCCTGCTCTAGTCAAAGACTTGTCCATGGTTCTAAGTGAAGCAAGTCAAAGATATCTCCTTTGTCCCTTATAACAATATCTATATGAAGAACATACAAAGGGAATCTGGGAATCTGACAGGGTTAGGAAACAGACAGAAGTGGTGGTTTCTTAAAGTTTTACACAGTGTTAACAAGAAAATGGGAACTCCATTAGATCTCACTTATTATACGAGACAGTGAACAAAAGAAATATTGTTCATGAGCACTAAAAGATCATCTGCTTGAAAGTAAAGGGTTTATTCTGTAACTACTGTATAACCTACTGCTATGAATTTAAAAGTGCTTAATCATTGGACTAGCTATCAATAGGAGACTGGTTCAATAAATTATAATATAGCTCTAAACAATGGAGGACTATGCAGCTATAAAATGGAGTGAAGAGTATCTCAATATTCTGCTAAGGACTGGTCTCCAGGCTCTATGGTTAGATAGAAAGCAAGGTGAAGTGTATATGGTGTGCAACCACTTTTCTATGAAGAAGAAGGGGATTCCAGTTTCAATAATAGCAGAGTGGCTTGTATCCAATTAACCTTCCTACATATAAAAATGGCAGAATCTGGATGAAATATACTTATAAAAGTTATTTGAGGGTACCAGAGATAACTAAAGGGGATTTCACTCTTGAAAGAAGGGAACTGCATAGAGTGGAATCCAAATTCATACAGCTGTCACCCTGAGGGTCCTCCCCAGTCCATGTAGTGTGGGGCAACTAGAAAATGAACAGAAAGCTGTTTGAGATGTGAGGGAATAGAGTATAGAGCTGTCAGAATGGCAAAAATTTGGAGAAGCAAATCCCATAAAGGAGGGAGCCTCAGAGGGAGCAGCCACTAAACTGGCATATAAAGTTCCCTCAAATCCTTAACATGTGCCCCTGAACAGCACACATGCAGGGGGAACTCTAAGGAGCTCAGTGAAAAGCAACCGCTGTATGGTTGAAAGATATGAGTAGAAATCGCAGCTACTGGCGACTGTATTAGAGAGACAGCTCAGAGCCTGAGTCCTATCGGTGAAGGCTCTGGAAACACCTCAGGCTGTTTAATATCCCAGAAGGAACACACCTTAGGAGTAAGGACTATGTTCCAAGACAAAGGGATTTGCCTGAAGGCTAAAGGCAAAACTGAAATGGATCTGCCCTAACCAAATGTAAGACTAAGCCACCACAAATTGAAAGTGATCGGCTAGCCATTTAACTGCCTGCTAGAACAGAAATCAACATTCTTCAGAGGAATATAACATAATCCAGAGTCTCTACAATTTGTTATCTATAATGTCCAGTATCCAATAAAGATTTTATAGACATGTGAGGAAACAGAAAAACAGGACCCATCATCAAGAGGAAAGGCAGTCAACAGAAACAGACTCTAAAATAATCTAAATATGTTGTAATTAGAAAAAAAAGAACATTAAAGTAGCTATTACAAATAAGTTCAAGCACTTAAAGGAAATGATGGTCATAATGAGCAATAACAGATGGAGACTGTCAGAAGAGAAATACAAACTATAAAATAAAAACTCTAGAACTGAAAAATATAATATCTGAAATCGAATATTGGACGGGATGGTCTTAATAGCACATTGGAGATGATAGAAGAAGGTAGTAAATTTGAAGATAGATCGATAAAAATGAAAAACAAACAGATCCTCAGTGACCTGTGGACCAATATTAATAGACATGTAATTGGAGTCCAAGAAGGAGAGAAGAGAAAGAATGGGGCAAAAAACCCAAAAAGAAATAATGGTCAAATTGCCCCAAATTTGGTAACAAGAACAACAACAGCAACAAACTTAAAGATCCAAGAAGCTCAACAAATCCCAAGCATGATAAACACAATGAAAGCTAGACCCAGGCACATCATAGTCAAACTGCTGAAAACCAAAATAAAGAGAAAATCTTGAAAGCAACTAGAGGGAAAAAAATACATATGTACATGATACACTATGTACAGGAGGAAAGTTATACTTATCATGGCTAACTTCTTTTTTAAACACCCAGAGAGAGAGAGAGAGCGAGCGAGCGCAAGCACGTACACAAGAAAGATATGGATGGAGACCTATAGATTGAAAGAGACTTAAGAGACACATCAACCATTTGCAACGTATAGACCCTTGCTTGGATTCTGATTCAAACAAACTGTAAAAACATTTATGAGATAGTTGGAAAAATGTGAACGTTAATAGGATATCTGATGATATTGAGGAACTGTTAGTTTTCAGTGATGTGACGGCTCTGTGATTATGATTTTATAAAAGGCCCTTCTCTTCTCAGACCTGTACTGATATACTTATAGACGAAATTATATATCTGAGATTTGCTTTAAAATAATCCAGGATGGTGAAGTAGAGAGTAGATGAGGCACAGAGAAAACAAGATTGGCCATGAGTTGATCATTGCAGCTAGCAATTGGTAGTTGGTGGTTCATTATACAATTTTCTCTACTTTTGTATAAGTTTGATATTTTCCACTATAAAAGGCTTTTTTTTTTAAGTGCTTAATCAACCTTGCAAGAATACAGGTTGGGATGACAAGGACTAACTTCCTCACTTTAACCTAGTACAAATAAATGCTTACAGGGTACTGATTGGGCCCATGGAGTTAACCTTAATGGCTGGGATTATTAGTATGATAGAAATGATCTGCAATTTTTGAGAATGAGGCAAGTTTTCTTTTCATAGCTAATATGGATCTCAATTCTTCTGTCCATAAAAATGAATTTACCTTTTGTCCATGGTTCACTTTTCATTTGTCACAGAATATGATCATCATAAGCAACTATTTAAGAGAGCTGCATTTTGAAGTTGCATATATTTTCTTCTAAATGCCATTTACAGAATGTCTCCCTTTACTTAAAAGCTTATTAAGGTTTAAAAGTACTAAAGGATGATGAAGACCATGTATTGAAAAACTCTATTTCCTGAATCCATTTCCCGTCTTACAAATTTCAAAATGAACACAAGCGTTGGCCAGTAGTCTGGTTACCTGCAGGCCTTCTTTGATGTCTTGAGCTTCAAGGCTCAGCATATGGGTGTGCACTCAGGGCAAGCCTTAGGAAGTCTGGGAGGACTATGAGAGGAAGAACTTTCATGCCAAGGGTAAAAGAGGAACTGACGTAATGTCCTGGGGAGATTTCACTCTCTGTTCCTGCCCAGATCTTTGGGAACAATGAAGGAAGGAGACAGTGCTCTGGATAATCCAACTCAGATTTTACTTTTGACTCAGGATCCGGGCAGGAACAGGACTTGGAGGAGCTTGATTTATTTATTTCTCTGCAGACACCACTCAAAGAGGAAGTACTTGATGAAGTTGATAACATTAATGGTAGAGAACTGGATCTGAGGGTTTTTAATTCCAGGCTCCTGGTGGTCTGGGTACAACCACTGTCAAGGCTGAAAGGCCTGCAATGACATCTTCCAAGCTTTGTTTCAGTTTGCAAGGCATGTGCCCACGTACGAAGTGGGCTATGACGTTCCTACCCTGCTGCCTGCCGCCTCTGTTATTATAAGTTGGCAGCAGGGTATGGAAACTTACGAGACCAGAGCCGGCAGGCAGAGAAGCTCCGGACACAGGAAATGCACTGAGCGGACAGTGGGTGCATTAAATCCCCCAGATGTAGGAGTCTTCTGTCTAAAACAAGAAGATTTTTTTGGTCTGGCCTTGTTGTCTGGGTTTGTTCTTGGTGAACTGCCCAGCTGGAAAACTGGGAAATTATCCACATTGCCCTTGGTCTGAAGGTCTTGATATGGGAGGGAAACGCACAAGGAAGAGGGAGGGAAAGCCACACAGAATTAGTCAATGTGGGCATGGAAGGAAGAGGGGAGGGGGAAAAAAGGCCAAGGACT